TGTGGTAGGCCACTTGTCATGCTGTTTTCACGTCAGGTTCACCAATGTGTTGGTGGAAACGTAATACAAACGAAACAGCCCGTGAAAAAAATTGTAACTTCAGTACACTGAAATATTGTAAGATTCTGTGCGGTTGACCACGGGGTTCTGCTACCGTTTGCCAGAAACCGCGATTGAGCATATTTTCTAGCAATGCCGAGTCGCCGAGGTTTAAGAGACTTCAAACCATCGGTTTACTCTACCCGACTGCCGGCGATGAAGCGTTTTGCTGCGTGCCTTGTGTTCGTTCGGTCCGCTTTTGTGGATGACACAAATGTAATTATTTTTTCCTTGGCTGATGTATATTCAATCGAATACACCAAAACATGGATCATATATTTATGATCCATGTCATAATTTCCCTGGATTATATCTATCTGATTCTGACCTCGCTCTTTGTTGACATTTAACCCCCGGAATGAACTCATCAAAAGTACATTGACTACATATAAAAGTGCATGTAGTACATGTAGAACGGATGATGTAGTACGGGGTAATGGTTTGTTGTCATGGCAACACAACAAAAAACACAAAGGTTTCGCTCCAGAGGCGTTTGTGTTTCATCGTCGTGCACTCATTCGCCATTTCATGTTTGTGGTACTTTATGATCGGCCTTGTGGGGCCGGTCAAACACAAACGTAAAATGACGGTTCGGGTGCATGCAGGTGCGACCAAAACGCTTGTGGAGTAATTTGTATCGGCTAATGTGACAGGCCTGATGAAAAGCGGCGACTTGTCTCCTGTGTATGCCGTTTTCCGTGAATAAAATTGGGTGCCTGCGCGATGCTGCATGACCAAATTGAATACCTGTTGAAAACAAACGCTATATTGAAAATGGCTGATTCGTGCAAAAGTCTGTCCCTGCCTAATAATCTAGCGTGAAACGGGCTAGTCGAGATCTGTCAATGACAGGCTCCTCGTCCCGCTGACTGTTCAGCTGTGCGATCAGCTGTCAGTTTAGCTGGGCTGGGTTCGGGCCAGGTGCAGCCTCGCCAGCACGACCTCATCGCCTCCCGGCGACCGGACCGCGTCCAATATCCAGCCAGGCATGCAGATTGGACGTCCAAGGCCTGTCTATAGGTCATGTTAGTCACCAGTCTGCCCCGACCCCGTCTTTTCTGGCGCAATGAGGTCCACTTGATGGCTGTTCCGCCCATCCATTCAACTCGCGTTGTGGGTCACAATTTATATTCATTGGCGGTCTCCCGCGAAGCTCATTGATATACGCTGACGAAAATCAATGCATCCAATTATTGTCAACGCTGTCTCGTAACCTCTATTAGCAGCCCTTGGGAATTACTGTACGTTGGGTGACAAGTCATTAAGTCGACGCAAACTGCCAAATTGCGCATCTACCCAATCTATTTTTCTATCTACATGCTGCATGCGTTTACCTTGAATTATATCTGTTTTGGGCGAGTTACAAAATGTAGGAATATTTGGAGCAGGACTAGCAAGGCGATATGATATGATAAAGGGATTGTTCTGCACTTGTATAGGGTTTTCAATTAAAGGAGCCATCTTGAAGGCCTATCGATGCTATTCGCAGCCCCGCCCGTTTCAGGACATGAGCCCGTCTAGTTTCTGAGGTAAACGTCCGCGAGAACAGGGTAAGGAATATCGGGGAGAATATTTTAAAGTCACCCTGGCATTCATGACATCATAACACCATTCAGATCCTGCCATTACATAAGCCAAGTAAAATCAAAATCCTAAACCATGCGAAATGAAAATCAGATCAAGGCCAAAACAAATCGTTGTCGAGGCGTTAATATCTGGCGTTCGTGAACAAGCTTTCTAGAAATAACGGCCGCCACGCTGTCTAGAGCAATCTTTTCCACTTTGAAATATATACCAATAGTCGTGCGAACTTGTTTCGTCATACCTGATGCTCGTTTCAACATCTTCAAATATGACGCCTTCCCTTTAAAGCAAAAGGCTGATTAAGGTCATACTACCCCAGTGGCTTCCTTGACCTTCACTAAAAGGCATAAGATGGCTTTTAAAGCAGTACCCGTGATTATTATATTCGAAACTATCTTCAAAACTATCTCCTTAAGATGATGCTCCACATTTGAAGATATTGAAGCAAGCATCAAATATAATGAAATAAGCTCAATTTTAAATGCTTTAGGTGAAAAATGCTTCTTTAGAAAACACAAATTTATGTCTAGTAAATAGGCTCCTCAATGTGACACTGTTGGATTACGTCATCATGCCTTACACAATACTGAGCGAGAGCCAACTGACGGCCGTTGAACCTGGGAATCAAGCTTCGAACGCCAGATATGAAAGACCCGACAATCATATTTTTCCTGGCCTCGATCGTCGCATGGCCAATAGTATGACGATTTTAATGACGCTGTTACGACGTCATGGATGCTAGGGTGATCTCCAAGTAGTCTCCCTTAAATATTATATACATCGTCACTGGCGTGTAGCTTAGAAAAAGGAAACGCCTTCAGAAGGGCAGGGCTGAGACATGCACCACACGATCTTCAAAATTGTAGTCCAATACTCCATGCAAAGGTGCAGCAATCCCTTTAATTTGAGTCTACCAGTAAAAATCCAGTTTGGATTTTACCTACGCCTGACCTCCACCACTTGCCCACGTTTAATGTAATTAGTCCCAATCCTAGGTCCAAAGGATTGATTGCTTTGAAAACTATCTCGAAAATTGTTGTCTGGGAAACCACCTCGAAGATCACTTGTTCGTCTAACACTCCGTTGTTGCACAAAATGCATTGTCTCCCCAGGAATTACCTTCACTGACATCATTGGCGTGATTTTACATGCCGCAAGTCAACGATCTTTTAAGGTATGCATATGTTTTTATACAAAACGGTTGTCTGTACAAGTGCCTACAGCTAGACTTAGTTTGGCCCGGTCATACCGTGCCGCTCAGAAGCCATTCCACAAAAACATCCGGGGCTTGAATTACCCCAACCCAACCGGGCACAAATTAACAACGCCTTGACACGCCCCCGGGTGGCCGGTTGGATACCCTTCGTTCGGGTGGGGACATCATTTTGACCCACCTAAGATCTCAGACACTAAGACAGCACGCGCGCCAATTTCGCAGGGTGTATTTATTTGTACATAAGCTCACTTTGGTTCAATGTTTTAAGTTCCTAGGTCATATCCGTCGGGTCCAATAAGGCCAAACAAGGTCAAACTCCAGGCTGGTCTTAAAGTACCCCAGAAACTAAATATGTTCCAGGCAAATGTTCACATGCCTATTTAAGATATGAAGTTGTGTGACCTTTTGAACGCCATGGAGACCAAAATCATACAAAACTGCTTTGAGTCTTGCATTTGAATACTCACCAAATATTACGCTATCGTTATCAATAAATTTTACGTTATCGTATATAAATTTTGCGTTAATTATATTTTATTACGATTACGTCATCAATAAATTCGAAATGAGCATCAGAAACTACCTCAACCAGCAAGTACTGAAATAATAAAACAGGTTGGTTTTGACCTTGGTTTGATCTTCATGTCTGACGCCAGGTCAATAAAATTTGCTCATTCAATTGTTGTGTTGCCTCAGAAACATTCTCAGATATGTACGGTTTCGTCTGACACTCTGTTATTGAATCAGATTAAACGATTCCCTAGGAATGGACTTCGCCGAATCCATACCCTGAGTTTAATCTGCCACAGTTTAGCGATCGTAGAATATACATGTAATTTTTTATGCCAGACGATCTGCTATCTAACCGTATACAGCTATGCACAGTTTGGCTTGGCTACGCCGCACTGTTCGGAAACCATTCCGGAAATATCTTCGGGGGGGGGGGGTCAAATTGATACCCAACGGAGCGCGTGTAACAATTTGACCCCGCCCGAATGTTTTCCGGAATGTTTCCGAACGGTGCGGTGTAGCTGCGCCAGATGTTGCATAGCTGTAGAAAAATGAACAGCGGATCGTTTGATATAAAAATCTAGCCTGAGGCGAGATGAAGTCAGGTCATGGATTTGGCGAAGTCAATTTCTAGGGAATCTTTCAATCTGATGCAACAGCAGAGTTTTAGACGAAGCCGTGCGCTCTGAGATACTTTCTTGGGTAACACAACAACTAAATGAACAGATTTCATTGATCTAAGGTCAAGTATGAAGGTTAAACCAAGGTCAAAACCAACCTGTTTATTAGTTTATGGCTTGCTGGACAGAGTAGTTTCTGGTGATCATTTCAAATTTATTGGTAACAAAATACCTTTTCCGTGGACTTACGTAAGGTCACAATAGGCCACTGACCCAGAATGACCGGGGCGAACATGCTACTTAGCGTAACCTTTGTCGCTTATTCAAATGCAAAACTCGAAGCAGTCTTGTACGTCACCATGACCTTGGAAATGTCAAACAAGATCACTGACCTTAATGTGGTTGTGAAGTTTTGCTTGGAATTGGAAAAGATATCCATGTTCTGGGGGCATTTTGGATGCCAGCCTGGAATTTGATCTTGTTTGATCTTATTTGACCCGAAGGTTATGACCTAAGAATCGCAATCTTTGGGTTTTAGTGAGTTAACGTACAGGCCAATGCACCATGTGAACTTAGTGTCTCTATCTCTCTTAATTCCTTAGATCTCTGGGGTGGGGGTCAAACTGACCCCCACCCCAGCGAGGGTACCCACCCAGCCATCCAGGCGCGTCTTAAGGCTCAGGAGGGCTTTGATATATATACTCTGTAGAAACATAGGTGGTAACCACAGGCTACCTTTAATACTCTGAACAACTGTATATTGCAACCCCGGTTTAAGCGCGATTTCGAAAACAAATGTCTGTGATCTCCCACTTAATACAAAACAAGCAGTTCTGTAAAGTGATGACGCTAAAACAACCAGAAGGTGAGTTTGTAGATGAGTTCAGACAACCAAGACACAAACCTGCACTCCAACGTTATTGCAAGCCTATTCTGCAGACTCAATTAGCGTGACAAAGATCGCGTGGCGCTTAAAATATCAGCGATGTATTTGCAACAAACGTATACCTCCAAACATAGAAGGGTAATATACTGGTAGAGTAACAACTCAATATTACACCGACCATGATCTATCGTGAGCAGAAGCGATCCCAGAACAGCCAACAGTGCTAGACACTCGGCAGAAAACCTGCCAGCATTCACTCGCTTCCCAACAGTGTTCTCTCAGCTTTTCTTCACTCACCAATCGCACCACGCATGGAACACATCAGTACAAGAACGCATGACAACAAGTTCATGAACGTCGCGAATGTTCTGTGTTTGTCTGCACTTCGCACTGGAACGTTCTGAGCTTCCGCCGCGGATTTCGTACTTGTTAGGTCACCTGCCGAGCTCAGAATGTTGTGGTCACGTGGCCTGTCCTCTGGTAGCCAGTGTCCAACATAGCTCGCAGTGCACGTACCGCGTCTGGCACCGCGAGCCAACGCCATCAGTCTGCAGCTATCAGTCGCTAGCACCGAACGTCGGCGACCGAAAGACTTTCATTGTCTTCCGCCGACGTCCACATTAGCATCACTCCCACGCGACGCTGGCACCCCTTGTCAGCGACCGGGAAAACTTAAACTGTCAGCGACCACCGCCGTCCTCACGTCACGTCGTCGTTCCGAGCGGAAAGTTTTCGGGACGCGGTGGCGTCCAGGAAGGCGCTGACTAAGCTGAGCCCGACGCAGAACAGCCACAGGTGTCCCGGGTGGCCGGCCGGGTGGCCAGCGCTCACGCCATCCTGCATGGCAGCGTGGTGCTCCCCTGCAGCAAAAGGGCACGTCAAAGAGGCAGGGGATGTGAAACTGCGGCACACAACAACTCGCGCCAGTTCTTTTAGCAGTGATGACATTGAAAGTGTTATTTCTTTAGCAAGGATTACACTGAAAGTGTTATGAAAGTAGTATTCACGAAGGTAATATTCCTGTGTGAGCTTTGGTTGTTTTGTTGTTTGTCAATTCCTTTAACCAGCACCAGGGCAGATGAACTCTCTGGGCTCCCTCCGGCTATTTCTATGGTAAAAGCAAACGAATGGCGTAACTCCAAATAGTTGTGCACCTTTTACCCATGTTACATGACATGCAAATGTTTTGAATTTCGATCATCATAAATCGACGTGTTTTTTTAACTAAAAAGCCAAGCCATTGTTTTGTGACAGGGCAAGCCGATCATGCTCGAATAGTACAAAGTGCAGCCAATCCCCTTCATACACCAACGACCATCGCTAACCCTACACCGTGGTCATTTATACCACTGGGAACGACTTCTCTGCCTCGATGATGTTGATAAAACCTTGGTCTATAGGCTTAGTTGATTGGTTCATTAGGAACAACTAAATTTGGATCTTTTGTAGCTTTGCGGAAATAGAAGAAAGCTGAGGGAATTAATGGGCCCGGCCTGCGAATACCACACGCAATGCGTGCTATGAAGGTACGCTGCCTTCCGAGGACAGTGAGCACCCGTGAGGGTGTGTACACTGCCTGCCGAGGTCAATCAACACCCGTGAGGGTGTGTACACTGCCTGCCGAGGTCAATCAACACCCGTGAAGTTCTGTTTGAGTTGGTTTGTGTGTCGAAAAACCTATCCGAGTATTTTGATGTGGTTTTTCACGCACCTCACGCACCTTTTTTTGGGATGCCAGTGCCGCACCTTTAACGTCACATGTGAGACCGTTCGGTACAATGTTTAAGCTCACTGGACTTGATTTGAATTAATCTGAAATGGCTGGCCTTGCTCAAATTTTATTTTGAACGTTTGGTTTTCGTTTTTGGTAACTTGTCAGTGTCGACACTAATGCTCGTGAATTCAAGCGCTAGACTATACTGATCTCAGACCAGGTCAGCGAAAATAATTGGGTCTTGTTACAAACTGTAAGGAATAACCCGGTGTTGTTCTTTTAATGTCTCATGTATGCTCCCGACGTAATGTGACTAGTGTAATCGAAACTGACCTGATGTGAGATAAGACAACTTAGCCTCTGTCCTAATTTTACTTTATTGCCATTAACAACTCTACTCTCCGACTCGCAGTGACTACAACCACTCAGAACTCGCCATTGGTGTCTACCAGATCACGGAAACCTCTTTGCTCTTCGATGACAAAAGACCTGGCCTAGCCTAATCCAAGGATCATTTCCACTTAAACAATCTAGCTACTTATCCAGTACGGAGAAATTGGAGCTTTCACCGGCGTGATGACTTCATTCACACACTATGTGATATATTTTGACGTTGTAATGGGTCAGTTTTACTAAATATTGGCCGTTAACATGTGACATTACCTTCAGATGCATGAATTGGTGTTATCTCATACCAAATAAAGACAAAAACATTGCAGCTTTAAACAGACACTGGTGTACAAGGAACTCTTCGTATGCGCTTGATTCATCATTAGCTCCGAGAGCCCAAGCATTGACAGAAATGACTAGCACTTGCTGAGCTCGGGACAGCTGGAACTTTTAATCTTTATGACGCCCTCAAGCGAGTTCGTTATGGTACCTAAGTGTGCATTATCCTTGAGATTTTGAGGGGCTCCGAAGAGCTCCCAGGGCCGCCAAAAAAGGTTTCACCAGCTGGATGAGCGTGGATCAAAACATATTGATAAGCCACAACCAAGGCGACGTGCCACGTCATTGTGAATTCGAGAAAAAAAGTAATCCAAAGCAGCTACTATCAATCTTCTACACTCACACCTACTTTTCAGAGATCTCAACGGCTTCTGCAAACGTATCATGAAGGAGAGCGATTTCGAAGTTGCGGTGACAGTCAGCGGCAATCTGCAAGCGCCCTGGTGTCTGACTCCATTCGAAAGCGTGCCGTGAATTTGAAAACACATGCATGCTGATCAAAACTTTGGTCAGCGAGTTGTTGTTTTGAAGTTTTATTTGCTGGAGGAACAGCTGTCTGAACGAGAATACAGGCAATAATTCACCCACAGGACGTTCCACGCCTGCGATGACTTGCAGCAACCTTGCAGGGAAGAAAGGATGTGTGCACTCCGTGAAAAACGTCACGTCTTCTGACGAGTTCAAAGACAACTGAAACTGATCGTGGTCCCTGGCGCCTTACACTCGATCTGATCCCAACACGTACATCAGATGTTGCCGAAATGCATTCGCGCATTTCGCAGATCGCTATGGTACATATCGCTGCCTCATCTGTCTCGTTGTTTTTTCGCGTGCGTTTTGTTTGAAAGACTTCAGATTGGGTCTGTTTACGCCGTTTCGCTCTCAGTGGATCCGAGAAGAAAATAAGGAGTGCTTAGGGAAGTTTCTTTGAATGCTATTCATAGCCGTCTTTTGATTCGATTGAACTGTTTGACAGTTTCTGTAAACGGCTTTCCTAACTACCTTTGTAATATCACATGCTTGAAAACTATCGGAAAACTGCTGCAACTTGAGCACTATTGTGTTCGACAAAAAACAGAAATATGAAGAGATGTTCAGATGCGATGTCAAATATCTATCTATACATTTTTCTCCAAATCTCTTCATCTTAAACTGTATGAATTTTTAATAAACACGAAATTACCTTGTCACTGTTAGTAGAATTCAATGTTACGTGACATGGACGCGTAAAACATAAGCGCTCTCTCAAAAGTAAGTCATTTTTTGCGTTTGTTGAACGACCACACACATGAAGGCTAACATTGGCATAGACATTCGTTTAGGAATCTGACTTCTTGGAGAAGCGCCCCAAATCACTAATCGTCGTCGGTATTCGTTCCAGTCAGGTGTCTGGCGAACGAACGAATCATACAAAAGAAACGAACGTTAACTTCAAACGTGAGCTTCGGTATTAAAAAACAACCACAAAAAAACAATGCGTTAGCTAGACAAGTCAATTCATATTCACAAGCATAAGCTGTCATGCACAAATATTCGAAAAAAGACCGGCGAAAGAAGCTGATACGTTTTAGAGACTGCAAAGCTCATTGGCGATTGGTAACGGGTGGCTGGATTCAGGGGTCAACAAATGTGTGAATATTTCCCCTGATATGATACGTAATCATGCGATACTTCCAAAGGCAACTTGCACCTGGAAAAGAGCCACTGTGGTAAACGTCTAAGGGAAAAGTCAAAGTTGTAATATAACATTTCGTTGAACTGACGGGATAATAGCTTCACGTACGCATACCTTTTTGTCTTAACAGTATTTAAAGCTTTCGTAGCCTTTATTACACAAACACTTTGATACAATAGTGCGTCACAGACATCAGAACTCGTGCGTTGGAAAAGGAAGGCAAATTAAATGTATTGCCTCCATGGTGGTGCGCAGGGAGTCAAATGACATTTTCCCCAAGGGTCGGCCACTTCATATCGAAACTCTGAGCTGTTCAGAAGAATTTCGAGAAAACTGTTATTCCTGATCACATCGTACTCGTCCGATGTAACAATAAGTGAGAGACACTAAAAAGGTGGGGTACTCCCTTTAACGTGAACTTAGGAGGCGTGATAAACACAGCTGTTTGTGATGTGAGTAGGGGGGCGGGGGACAGGAGAAGAGGAAACTTGGTAGCAGCAAAATGACACCAGATTTAACGTGATACATACCTTAATGTATACGTCACATCTGCAGTGAACTAATCTTTCGTGAGAACGGACTGGCGTGGTACTCTGGAGTTGGTCGCCACCCGGACAACTCCTTTACAAGGAATTTTGCTGCTGGGTCCAAAACGTAAATGGTCGCTTCACCTCATGGGAAACGTCACTGCGCTCGCAAAATGGGCCAATCAAGTGCTTGTGTAGCATATCAAAGGAAATGGATGAGCCGCAATGAACAATAGCGTGATTCCTGCGCGTCAACAGGTTTTGCAAATGTAACCCGCCACGTTTTCACAAAGTACAAAACACGGCTACGGACCAGCCCAATAAAACATCCCTGACTCTGTAAATATGTCCTCGCCTAGAGCAAAACATCCTCGCGTGGCACACCCTTTGGTTTATGCACAGCACTGAACGTTATAATGGCTTAGTGCATCCTTAACATTCATTATTGTTATGTCAACGAGCGCTATCATGGATTACGGTGCAATTTGTTATCCTTGCATTGCCTGCAGTGGACATTTAAGAATTTTAGCTCCATTGTTCAAGCCCAATTCGTGCTCTAGTCACAACGATAAACAAACTTTTTCCAACTCGGTATGACTTGATGAAAACAATGAGTCAGAGTTGAATCAAATGACATGGGTTGAAAAAGTGTTGCTCTGAGCGAACATGAAGTATAACCTATAATTAATAATAATAAATGTTATATGCAATCAAGCACAATATAGTAAACATATATGAAATAAAAGTACAATATAATTAAGTTTGGTTTTTATAGCTTGCAACCACCTCCTTGTAGAACAAGCAATGAACCGTAGAGGACGCATGTGCACAACAAATAAATTAACTTCCAAACTGCACTTCTATAAGGTAGTAACTAAAACATATTTCCCAGTGGCAAAAGAAATGCATGACAGAAGTGCTTACGTCGAAGCAGTCACAGACAGAACAGATCACATTCGGCCAGAAAAGTCATACCACGGCATGTGCAATTTTCAGAAAAATGGGCAGTTAAAGCCGTGGTATGCTCAAGATAACTGGACATACAACGCTAAGCCATCAGCTGTGAATAACAGACATACATGCATGCACACAAACATACATACATACAACTACATTCATACATGTATATATGTATATATATATATATATATATACACACACACACACACACACACACACACATATATATATATATATATATATATATATATATATATATATATATATATATATACTACGTAAAGGAATAGGTCCGCCGTGATTTCCCGAGCCGGTTCAACGGAGCCACCGGGCAAGCGGAGCATAACGACCAATTTTCTGCGGATAAATCCCCGCAGAAAGATGGCTATGCGGAAAATAAGCCCGCTCATCTGAGGAGATAAGGTACGTGGCGTCTCTAAGTCCCGTTTCCTCCATGTTTAAAGACAAAAACTTATTCCTCGATCGCACTGTTAGCCTCAGCAGTGAGATACCCCTTTCCTACATCACACCCATAACCAGCACCACACACTTCACATTCCCGCAAAACTCATACGCACCAGACACCTCACACTTGAGCAAAAATCACATGCGCCACACCCCTCACACTCGCCGTAAAACTTATACGCACCACACACCTCACACTCACCGCAAAAATGTTCTACATCACACACCTCACACTCCTGCAAAACTCATACGCACCAGACACTTCAAATCTGCACAAAAATCACTCGCGCCACACGCCTCACACTCACCGCAAACTCACCAGCAGCACTCCATCTCACACCCACACACCGCAAAACTCATCCACACCCCACACCTTGCACTTACCGCAAAACCCACCCGCGCCCATGCATTTCACACTTACCGCCAAACCCCATACACAATCTACACACATCAGTTGCAACCCGCACATCTCGGCCGCACTACACATTTCACCAGCAACACTCAACTCACCAGCAATCACATCTCAGCATCATCACATCACACCTGCGCCACACATTTCACCGGCATCGCACACCCCACCGAAATCACACGTTTCATCTGAGAAGCACATTTAAACCGCACCACGCACGTTACCAACATCGCACATCTCATGAACACCACAAATCCCACCCGATTCTCGCACCCTCTCAGCACCGGCCTCACCGTTGAGCACGTGCAGCAGCACGCTGGCCGAGGGCAGGTTACTGGGGCTGCACGTGTAGTTGCCCGAGTCGGTCTTGATGACGCGCTCGATGGTGAGCGTGGAGACGGTGGTGTCGGGTGCCGTTCGCTCCACAGCCTGCCAGTGACGCCGACTGGCCGGCGACATCACGCGCTCCACGTTGTGGTACCAGAAGATGAAGGCCGGCTGTTCGATGCTCTGGGAGATGACGCACTGGATGGTGACCGTGCTGCCGGCGTTGACGTGCAGGTCCCGGTCGCCTCCCAGAATGGCCACCCGTGGTACTGGCGACGGTAGACGGGGTCAGGTGACGGACCAGGCGTCAGCTGTGGGAAGCGGAGTTGAGAAGAGACAGGTTCAGTTGGGGGAGATGGGGTCAGCTTAAGGACGGGGTCAGCTAGGGAGGTAGGGGACAGCTGGAGAGATGGGACCCTCTCAAAGACTGGGTCAGCTGAAGAGGTGGGGGTGAGCCGGCGAGGTGGGAGTCAGATGGAGAGGTAAGATCAGCTGGGAGAGGAACGGGCCAGCCGAGGGACGATCTGAAGATGCGGTATATGTAAAGTGGCCATGTTAGGTAGGAGTCATTTGAAATCGCCTGTAGCGTCGCAGTTGTGATCCAGACCTCAACAAAAGAAGGCGCGTCTCTCGTCGGTATCATCCTCTATGCTACAGACAGAGTTTTCATTACCAGAGTAATGTTCGATCGGGCGGCACACATGCCTCCATTTAAAAAGAAAACGCACGATTAAAATCAACTTAAAAACTAGCTTGAAAGCATTCTACCGAAGCCCTACAACCTAACTGAGCAAACTTACAACAGTAAAGCAGCACGCAAGCCAGTGGGAGCATCAGGGAGCCCGAATGGCCGTGCCTACCCCTGTCTTCTCGCTCAGCCTCTGAACTTCAAGTCCACGTGCGAAGCAACCAACACGCAGTATGACGTCAGACTCTGACTCGCTCCGTTGCACGTTCTGTCAGCTGGTGCCGCAGCCCGACCGGACTTCAGCAGCCAGTGACCTGCCCGATCGCGTGGCGCGCCGGCGTCGACCCGTCGCTGACGACGCGCCGGGGGTCGCATGGCCGGCTGGCCGGCGGCCGTTTAACGAGGTCCTAGTAAACAGAACGGCTGACGCAGACGCCGTGTTTGAACTGCCTCGCTGCCCTGGTCCCGAATGGGCGGTCCGGAATGGTGAAATATTTGTCACCATTGCACTGCGTCGCCTGCATGAGGTCGGCTGATGGGGGATGTCAGTCAGCGCAGGCTCGCGTTAGTTTTATAATTTATCGGCATATGCTGCTATAAGTCACTAGTATCTGGCACTTGCGGCTATGTTTTGGCCCCTCAAATATGCAGCTATTGAAAACGGAACCCGCGTCCCATCGAAAGCTCCGACCGATGAAGATTGTGATCGTGGTGGACGGTTGCAATGACAGAACCACGCCCTGGACCCTAGCTCTGATTATCCGTTTTCCATAACGAGGACTGATCGTGAAGGGGGGGGGGGAGGGACATACGGCCACACACCCCCGTTTCCAAACTAAGAGTGAAAGGTCTCGCGATTCTTAAAAGCTTTATGTTGCTAGGTCGATGATTGATCCCATCACAACACGCCAAGGTTCAACATTTTCCGAAAATCGACCTTTTCAGATTTACATGTGCATATGGACGAGACAATGCCTTGTAGCGACACGGTACCTTAAAAGGCAAAATTCGTGTTCAAATCTTAATACAGTTGTGAGCATTTGTGTGTGCTTTGAACATAGATCTATGATGTGTGGATTCGTTACAGGGAATGCTACACACTTGAAGACATTACAACGATCACCAGGTACAATGAAAAAAGCTTAGTTACAGCTACTGCCTTCCTTTTAAGTGAAAAAGTTTTCAGACGACACAATTTCCCTTTTAAGTAAATATGCTCCTCAATACTTCATCGTTCGGCTGCGTCATCATACCTTGCACGACACTGATTGAGAGTCAAGTGGCGGCCGTTATATTTGGAAATTGTGCTCGCCAATGTCAGATATGAACGACTCGACAACAATATTTTCGACCTTAATCGCCGCCGGGCATATGGAATGACATGGTTTCAATGGTGTTATTATGACGCTTATTGACGTTATGGCGTTATGTTTCCAACAAACATCACCTTGGTTTTTATCCGAGGAATGAGGCTAATTACTGTTTTATCCATGTGTTATTATGACGTCATGAATGCCTGGTTGACCTTGCAATAGTATTCACATTTTCGCGGATGTTCAGCAAGAAAAAAACTAGATTGGTTTAGGTCAAAAGAAAGACAGGGCTGTGCACCGAATAATCTTCAACATGGCTATTTCAGTTAAAAAACCCCATACAAGTGTGGAGCACTCCTTTAAACGGACGATATTACGATATTACGAGTCTAGAGGTAGGCTCAAATGTGAGCTAGTCATGTCAGTCTTTGCTATTTTTGTAATGAATATCCCGTACACGGAACATTGTTTTGCCAGAGCATAAGTCCATCTAGTCTATAGTCATACGTATGTGATCATAATTGCACGTAGAAATAAGTATGTCGCTAAGCATAAACGCAAGCTAATGGATGGCTTAGTATTTCATGGGAGTGTTCCATATTTTTATGGGATTTGGAACTAAAACAACCATCTTGAAGAACATTCGATGTAATGCATAGCTCCGTCCTTCTTAATGACTAAACCCCTCGAAATCCTAAGCTTTACGTCAGGGCATATGTGTGTACCCTTTCGGAGAAACCATTTCAAGATCACTCAGACATCTTTGACGTCATGATAACGTCATTCAAATTGTGCCATATCTGGCGTTCGAGAGCACGATTTCCAAATATGACGGCCGTCAATTCCCTCTAAAACAATTTTATGCAAGGTACGATTACAAAATGAAAAATGTGACGTTGAAGAATATTGGTAAGAGGATAAGCTGTGATGTTTAGCACCGTCCTTTCGACTTGAAAGCACACCACTACTTATATGAGAGCTTATTTCGTCATAGCTGATGTTTGCTAAAATAATTTAAATGTGTAACATTCCCTTTGGCTATTATGGGTCACCATTACGAGGTTGTGAACACCCTAACTGATTAAGTGACGTCATTTTATCTCACCTACATGTTTTTTGACTACATCTTTTGCGTGTGTTAGCCGAAATTATTTGCCCTTCAATATTGATTTGATCTCTCGCTTAAGCCACGGGCCTGTTGTGAGTATTAACAAGTGCCGAGATTCGGCATTCTGGTTAATTCTCGTCCAGCAACCATACGATCACTGCTGATTGGTGTATGGACAAGTTGGACTTCTCCATAGTATGTAACTGTTGTGATATTAGACCCTCCCTGACACTGAATCTTAGTTAATATTTTAATATTTTTTATTTAATATTAATATTTTACTCTCTGTTCGATCTCAAATTAAATGAATTACGGTAAGTCAGAGATATGGCCTCCATCGTTGAGTTTAAGTGTTGAAATGGATATCAAATGAACCATAACTTATAATCCAACGCCAAGCTAGTATCCGGGTCATGGGCGTTGGTAGGAAAACTTAAAGGGAGTGTTCCACATTGAAGACATTGAGTTAGGCATCAGATATCATGGAAAATGCTTCCTTGTAACTATTGATAAGCTTTCAAGGTTCAAAAACGACGCTAAGTAGCAAAATTGAAAAAAGTATATAAACATGGGCCCCATTACGTCATTGCTTGATGGCGTCATGAATTGGGTTTGTGACGACAGCAAAACCTGGCAACATCTCGGTGCTGTACTGTGGCATGACATAATGAGCAACAATATGATTTTTTACTGCAATCCATGCCGTTTTCATAATAAACTCTAGCATGAAAAGGTAGGTTAAGCATGCGCTCTTGTATTGACTTCCCACCTGACATATGACTGACCAAAAATGCATGATTCAATATACAAATCGCTTTCAGCAAAGCAGACAACCAAGAAGTGGCATCACTTGCTCAACCTACTTCGGGAATCCAGAAAACGCAGGTGAGAAAGATGCAAACGCATCTTTCACTTCCATGATCGTGCAACATGCTGCAGCCGTCGGGCTACTTTACTACAAAAATAACAGGAAAATTTTATATGTGGTGAAATGAGACTGCAAACATGCTGCCCTTGCACAGGGCTGGAGACATGACATATGCATGTAGTTATGGTTGGATGAGCAAAATGCAAGGAAGTGATGAAGCTGCCAGTGCACACAAGGCCTATGATAAACATATTATTAAGTGCTGTCCAAGACACCAACAGCAATACTTGTCCAGTTTTCTCAGCACCCAGCATCCCACGCAAACTGCAGTGACTATGACATTGATTACTCAAGAGCAATGCTCGCCTGCATACAATATTTATGAATACAGTACAATGTGCATCATTTATAACAAAGCTCTATATTTTCAGAATTCTTTAGGGAAATACAATTTTGCAAAGCCATATAATGTGAGCCTATACTGAGCATGTCCATTAATGAGCTGCACACACCAGTCCCTATTGCCAAAATGAGTTGCTGATATAATGATATGCAATGGATTAATTACATTCTGTAATACCTCAATAGGTTCACAATGTTGGCAAGATCATAACGAAGTACCAGTACCAGTACTTGCCTTTGTACACCCCTGCAACATAAATGCTAATGTTTCTCTCAGTTTGCCGGCATTCCTTTGTCATGTTCAAACACAAACATAAAGGTAGAGGCAGGCATCAATATCAATAGGCATCAATATATCAGGCATCAATATATCACATTCTATTGGGAGTCGGTAGACTGAAGAATACCAAAACAATGTTCTCTCTCAGAAGAACAAACCTCGCACGGACACTCCCCATCACATCAATACCAATACAAACCACTGGCACACACCACCAATGATCACACGTGTCTCGAGCTCCCGATTCACACTCTTTTGTCAAATAAGTGTGATATCACATTTGCACAGCTCGCGGGACTATCAAATTGCAGGTATTCTCATAATTTCCGCACAGATCTCCAATCACAACACCAGACTTCAACGTGATCTCCCTTAGAAAAAGTCCCATGGGGGTTCATGGTAATGTGGCTCAAGAGGTTCTTCTTGTAAAACACAATTTTTCAAGATTTAAATTTGTCGTACCATATGTGTGATACCATATTCATTATATGATATATCTAATATATATTATATTATATATATATTAATAATATCTATATATGTGTGTGGTGTGTGTGTGTGTGTGTGTGTGTGTGTGTGGAACACTTCGAGAAATACATATATATATATATATATAAAATTACTGTGATGTTTCTTTAATTTCATAATGCCTTGCTATCCCATAAACCCGCGTAAGGTTATATACTCCGCTCCACAAGGCGCCAACCGAGCTGTCTGTAAGAGATACGTTAGTGCATGAAAAAACGCCAGCAGGAGAAAAAAGACAAATTTGCCGCCGCGTTTTCTGTTTATAACTTCCGGAGAGTGCCGAGTTTTTTGGGGGCCGTACTTTTTTGCAGACAGTGGCGTTCTTTTTTATAACAATGACATGTGGCCTAGAAATAAGGAAAAATGACCCGTTCACGACGAGTGTCGCACATCTCGAAATTGCTCACGCTTGTGCTCGCAACACGCATTCAGCAGTAAAATCTTACTAACAGCCAATCATCTTCCGCGGACTGTACAACACGTGCAGCATCATCGCTTTTACGAATGTATCAGCGCCATGCTGTTTTGACCATAAATAAAACACATCCTGCAATATCATGGGGATCTAATAATGTTTCTATGACGTCATTAATCAGAGGGCGATTTTCTGAATAGGCTCTAAATAAGCCTTTTCGTACTTTTCGGGCGTGTAACTCAGAAACCAGAAGGTTTTGGGACTTAAAAAGGGCGCATCCCTGAACTGCATCAAAATGTCCTCAAGATGACTACTTCAGATCAAAGCACCGTACAAATGTGGGACATTCCCTTTAATGTTCAAGTTTGCTTTTTAACGAGGTATTATATAGGAATAGTGAATCTAAAGCTCCGCCAAATAATGCACAAACAGCTCGCGCATCGCGCAAGCAGCGGAATGTTTCATGAAAATTATATGTCAAGAAATGACAATACAATACGGTCTAAATCCACCGCAAATGGACACATCGAGGAAATCGAGGGCGTCCAAAGGCAGTGTACTGAGGTCCGTAAGGAGCAAGATTTCTCAGTTACCCTATTAAGGGGCCAAATGCTGCGTTTTTTTTCATCGAGGTTTTTAGATCACCGATGGAACCATTTCCTACAAGCTCACTTCGTACGTACCCAAGACCCTTTACACTTTTTCCATCGGATCGGCATGTCAGGAAGCCCATCTGATCCGTGATGGGTCCGAAAATGAACCCTAACTGCGATGTTGATGTCCTCGCTAAATGCCTCACCGCGCTGGTCGAGAAAAAAAAACTCTCACTGACCGAGCGAAAACACTCCCTTATGCCGCTAGCCGAACACAGAGTGCATGTGACTTGGTACACTGTGTTTTTGGTGGAGCAAGTTCTATCAAATCCAGAGGCACACGGGACCCACCTATCCCTTCTTGTGGGGTACGTTGGCCTTCGCAGGTCGCTATGCACCAGTTTCCGTCTCAGTGGGCCAGATTTGGTTCAAATCACTCAGCAATTTACACCGCTTTTATGCCATCTTCTTCCTTGAGGCATAACTCGTGTATTTTTATTACGTTTTGTGGCATACCTTCGTGTATACTATCATCCATATTTTTCTTCTGTCTTTGTGGTTGATAATCAGGATGGGAAGGCAGATTGACTACCTGCTTGACTAACATAAACTAATCCTGGGGATATCCATTGTTTTGGGATTTATGTACAATGCGGTTTATCCACAAGCTTTGCCGCGAGGAAGACAAAATCTGTTAAATATAGTGACATAGAATATGGGTGGGCCTGAACCTATCAAGGGCCACCACAAGCACAAATGTGTGATGACCTACGTAATCCAACGCGCGCCCGTAGAAGGGACGGGTGCGTCCCATGTGTCTTTGATAGCGTTTGCTCCACCAACAAACCAGTAAACCAAGTCTCATGCACTCTGCGTTCAACTAGCCGCATAGCGGTGTGTATTCGCGCGATCAGTGAGAGGTTTTCGACCAGCACCGCGTGACATTCACGATGACATCAACAACCCGGTTGTGGTTCATTTATGGACCTTCACGAATTTCATGAGCTTCTCAACATGCCCATATGGGAGAAACCATGGTGCAAGTGTCTTGAACACATGGCAAGAAAACTTCGAGCATCGGTTCTGATTCATGATCTGAAACCTTCCGTAAAAAACTGTACCAGCTGGCCCCTAATAGGGGAGTCGAGAACACTTACTTCATAAGGACCTCACTAAGCTGTCTTTGTTTGTCCTCGATTGCCCTTGTGTGCCATTTGCCATGGCATGTAGTGATTTTGTATTGCGAGGTGCTCAGGATGTTATTGTCTTTGAGTGTTTCGCTATTTGTGCGATATGTTTGCATGCTATTTTGGAAACCCTAAGATGACTAATTTGGTTAAGATATCTTGGTTATTTCTTGACGTACCACTGTATAGATACTTGTGTGAGCTCAGGAAATATTTTATCGTACACCATACAACATAATTTCAAAAGTTAAAGTTCTGTGTGGGAGGCACGACTACTGCAGAATATAGTGAGTTCTGTGGCTTGTATTTCATTTGAATTTGAGACGCAAGTTAGCAGTGTGCTGTGTTTTGTGACCGCAGTGAGCTAGGGTGATCCTTTTCGGCTATGACATTCGTGAAACAGTCAGTCCTTGCACTAGTACACGTCAACTTTTGGCACCCACACCGACTGTTAAACACCTGAATTATATTCAGGAAGCAACAAGTGATCCCAACTCCGTCGAATACTTTTACTTGACCGTTCCAAACATTATGAAGGTCCTTGTCGTCATAATAATGCATTTTTTAGCCGTGAGCTATGAAATCTAATGCTATCGATCGCACATTGAATCAGCGACATCAGCCTCCTGATCGTGGGAAGGGTAAAATTATGCACCGTGACTCAAAGGTGGCAAAATAGCCCACCCGATGCCGGCATAAAATGGCTCAATTCAGCCGTAAAATCCGTGAAGTTGTAGTGTTAAACTCTAACTTTCGACAAAGTTTGCCGATAATCGAATGGTCTCGCTGCAAGGCTCAGCCGACAGTGCTTTTCGATTAGCTGCACCGACCCGAGTCCATGCTGGAGCACGTGGCGTCCAACAACACGGGGTCTGTCAAGCCGGTCCCTGAAGGCTTAATTCCGCTCTGACAAGCACTTCAGGAAAACTCAAACTTACTGGAGAGAACTTCTCCACTCAAGCCGCGGCAGACTGAGAGCCTCTGTCAATGCTTCAACCCCATCCACCTCAGCCTTTGACCTTGACCTGGTGTGCGGCAGCGTGAGTCAAGTGTTCAAACTCGCTGTTTTTTGCACATATGGTCGACGGGCCCTCAGCCTTCTTTACGTATTGAGCCGGTATTACGTACGGTACACGCACAGCGCGCAGTGTAAGCACCCGCGCTCTCCGCTGCACATGAAGGGCCTCACAGAATGATCACGGCACACACACGTACGATGCACGGAGCCGCCAATGCAAGGCCAATGCAGTTCCACAGTATTTAGTAACCTTTGTCAGACTGGTTGCTCAGTGAAATACCATTCTGTTGCTAAAGTGACATGGTCCTGCAAATGTGCGTCAATCAAGCCACTGAGGTGATCCATAGGCCTGAGGCAGCCAGGCCAGTGTCGACCCGCTGAGACTGTAAATGACGCTCATCAAACTAATCACCACAACAGCCTTTTCGAGTCCAAAATCAGTGGACAGTGTTGACATATGGCATCTGTCACAGTTGGCGAAAAGTGTGGTATGGCCACACACTGGCCACATCCGGCCACCGGCTGCACGGACCACATGGCACCCTGACAGAAGCGGAACACCGCTCCTCTGGGCCACTGGCGGCGGGGGGAGAGTAAATGGCAATGTGACATCATATGCGCACGTGCCTCCCGAAAACGCTGCCTCGGGCCATTGTCACATCCATATTTTGTTGAACAATACCAGTAGACAAAACGCTTGAGGCAGAAAACTACTGGGAGAAGCGTGACTGAGTGGATAGGAAGCTGCCACGATGGCCGACAGCGGAGCACTTAATCCGTTTGAGTTCTGCGGATGGCTACTTTACGTAACAATGTCGAGCTGCCGAGCAAGGCTGCTAGGCTTCCCAGGGCGCTCTAGATTCGTGGACAGAGCAGAAAGGCAGGCTGGGAGAGAAGGAGCAAACATGGACAAAGTCACTTTATTAATTGTCAAGACCCCATGCGTTTCTTTTATGTTGCTGTTGCCGAGCGTGAAAAAGAGACCACCATGTCTAACAGGCACGCCTATTATTCAAGCGCGAGTGGACAAGGACATTTAGTTAAATATTACTGAACCTGAGTGCGATATGTTTCGTGAATCCTCAAATACCTGAACCACTACACAACCATGCACCGATGATGTTGAGCTGTTGTTCGATACAGTACGCGTGGGACCCGGAAATGGAAAGTCTGGAAAACCGCTGCATCTGAACTACTTAAATCAACAGATGAAGCCCCGTACCATGCCAGGCACATGCCACGTGTGCTTTTATCACAGTCAAAACAGAAAAATGAAATTACACTCAGAAAAATAACACAGTCACGTTTTCTACAGTATGCGGTTGGAAAACCGGGGCAGGGCACTAGCAAATTATGCTTTAATGAGGTTACATGCAAACGCCCTCTGCGTTCCTCTGAAACGTGAAATTCAATCACAACTGTCCAGCCGCCCACATTGCCGTCTTATAAAGCTTACCGATAACGTTAAGTGATATGATGTGGCAGATCTTGGGCTCTGTGCTGATTTGACACTCGTATAAACCGGCGTCCCTGGTCTGGACGTATTTGATCTGCAGTGTCCAGGTCTCGGAGTCCTCGGGATGGAAGCACTGGAACCTCTCATCGGCAATGAACGCGTACCGATCCACGGTCAAAATGTGGGAGTCGCGATTGCGTACCCAAGACACCTGCAACAGAACACACACAACCTGAAAAAGGTACACGAGGGAGGAAGTACTCCCAAGTCCTCAAAGATCCCCTAACAAACTAAGAAAATAATAACCTTGGACTCAATTTTGAAAGTATTATTAAGATGTTAAAATAAAGTATAATAAGATAAAGGAAGTATAATCATATTAAGTTTCACAGGCGGTGAATACCCAACCGCTGCTCTCATTGCATATGACAGTTTCTCTTCATCTCTAGATTTGCCTCCAACACGTGTAGGAAACTCACACTCGAGATATTTGCTATGGCCCGTTGCATTCCATGCAGATAAAACTATACAGTAAACGCTTACCAGAAGAAACATACTAAACACTCCTACTTTTCAGGAGAACTTATCTTAATAAAAGAAGTCGAAAAGAAAACATTTGGAACATTTTGTCTCAACACTTACAGTTTCACGCTCACATCAACTAAGTTACGAAAAATGTAAATCAAGCCCTCAGTCCCATCTTTACCATAACACGTCTTACTGCTGGGCCCATTCTAGTTCAGACTTACAGGATATGCATCAAATTCTAACTTGATTATTGCGGCACAGTCTGCGTAGGCACATCACTGACTGACTCGCTCAGACTTCAGATACTTAAAAATAGGGCTTTGAGACATATGACAGAAGTGCATTTCAAAACACCAGCTGGCAAACGCAGCGGGGGACCTTAGCTAGGACTCGCTCGACGAGTGAAAACCATATATAAACTTATCTCGACGATAAGAAGGGAACCGTATACAACCTAACGTGGTATTTTAAGCTCCAAGATAAACGGTCACAGTACACCCACGGTATTACATTCACTGTCCCTACCACACAGTGACACAACGCAGGCATAAACTTGCAATGAAAACACTCGGTTATAGCTGCTTGACCGTGTGGTCTCATTTCAACCTTCATTCACCAAACGTAACTGAATTTTAAAACCGGATCACTCCATCTATACGGACTTTGCTGCCAAGATTCAAGCGCGTTCTGTATCACAGGCTATGGTTTAAACCTTCACCAAGTTGTCACTCTTTCGGCAAAATACTAGGCAAGTCTCTCCGCGCCATTCTTTGCTTGGGCACGTCCACCTTGAACGCTCATATATATCCCGTTAAAAAACTGCTGATCCATCTTACTTGCATGGTTTGCTTTCAAGACATGTCACACACACTCCCTACACTGTCAGCTATATCGTGCCGTTGGATTACACCTCCTTGAAAGTACCTCAGCAGCACTGCAATGCAATTTTGCTTCACTTTCCTCACACGGTAGGCTCGAATCACTTCTACGGACTTATTTCTTCGACTTACTTCTCCTTCTCGACTTACTTCTACAGTCTGGGCGACAGCGAGGAATGTGTGGTAGCTCATGGTTTCCAAAAATACCGTCTGAGAGCAAGTCGATTTAGATAACCCGAGGCGAGCCTTGGCGCACTGGCCCCAGCTGGGGAGCGGCAACCAGAATTTGATTTGGGTCACGTTCGCGGCGGCGGCCGGGCGACTATCCCATCGTTATTACCGAAACAGAGAGATGCTTCGGTTGAAACGAGCTCGCGTTTGCACAGATTTGCAATGAATACGTCAAGTTGTGTTTTTGTAGAGGGAATTTGAATGTCGTTATTGTTTGGTTTCCCCCAGCCATGGCAATAACCGACATCAACTAGTCACATAGTCACCGCATAGTCAATATAAACTTATTCCGAATACTTTGCATGGATAGCAAATGGGTTGGACCACACACAAAGCCTGTCTTATCTCTCAGTAAACTGAACTCCAGTTGTGTCATTTCAGATCAGTGAATCAAATAAGAAAGGATTATAACGGATGTCCTCTGGCCTTTTCCCAGAAGAACTACGGAGGGATCTTTGTCTTGCTCTGCTGCGTTCTAACACCGCCAGCCGCCTTCCACCAGGTTGACTCTCTCTGGCCAGTGTTTGACTGATCTCGTTATGCTATGGTCTGGCCAAAGACATTACTCTCCCATAACAATGTGCTTGCTTCCTCCGTACGACAACCCCCCCCCCCCCCGCCCCCTACTATCCTCGGAAACATGGGCTCGTCTTGAATCCCACAGTACCCCTTTCGACACGTACGTTCTTGTTTTGCTTTTCTGTTTCATACACTTTTCTCTTTCTTTTTTCCATTTATTTGCTTTCCTGTTCACAAGTTCACATTTTTATTTATAACACACGTTGTTTACTTAACATCACACATTGTTTACTTAACATCACACATTTTCATACTTTCACAGTTTATTCTGAATTTCAGTGTTTTGAGGCCGATGCTTCGTGCACCTGAAAGGTCTCTCCCAGGGGCTACAATGTCGTTCGCTGGAGCATATGCACGTGTTACCTGGTCATTCTTTACTACTCCACTGACACTCAAAATGATAACCATTGTCTTGCCGGGATAACAATTGTACTCGTGGGATGCGATTGTAGTGGTCCTTATTCAATGGCTTGAGCACGGTTGTGTTTTTTTCTAAACCAGGGATTCATATTATTGGTCACGCCTTCTTGTGCAAGCAGAAGCAGGCCCCGGCGAGTTGGACGGTGCAGCCAAGTCCCGAGCGCAGTAGTTCCCAAGTCAATATCAACAAAAGGACAGGTCCAGGTCAACCAAGCCGGCCAAGTTAGGAACGACTGGCCATAGGGTGTTACAAAGCCGCGCCTGTTGTCCCGGCGCTGGGCCCCACTAGGGCCTGTCACGCGTGCACTTCTCTCTTCGACCGACCGTCGTACACTGGCACATACATAGAGTGTCACCGCACCGACTGAATGCGGTCTGTCCCGCGACCAACTCACGGAACAGGACCTGTCTAGTGACAACAGGACGATCTACTGTCCATTGACCAGTTCGCTCCTGGCCCTAATGCGACCTGTGCCGCGACAGTACACCCCCGAAGGTCAACGCCCAGTGTCCAAGGGTCAACGGCCAGTGCCCCCACTCACCGACTTGTCCGCCAGCTGCTGCACAACGCAAGGCAGGAACGCGTGCGTCCCCAGCTGGGCGGTGACGTTGGTGGGCGTGCTCGGGTCGAAGAACGGGCCCGAGAACGCGCCGCCGTCGGGCGCCCGCTCCTGACGACATTCGGTGGAGCTGGCCCCGTCTGCAACGAGTCGCCGGGCTGACGTCAGTCGAGGCAGGCGTGGCCGAGCTTGCCGGCCGCTGCCGCCGACGATCGGAGCTGGACGAGCCACCGGCGCCGATGAGGACTAATGAGCCCAGCGGCAAAACACCCGGTGTGACGCAGCATTACGGGGCGTGCTTAAGCCGGCCGCAATAGCAGCACGCTATTGCGAACTTAGGTCGCACCGTGTGAACGTGAAGGGCCTCTAACGTCAAGCCTCCTCCACTGCTCAGCGGTCCGACAAACATTTGACCCAGCAGTAATTACGGCACGGGTGGCTGAGGCATCTGGCGCCGTAACAAGCCCGCACCGTCACAACAGCACGCGATGCCAAATCAAAACCAGTTAGCAGGTCGTTAATTACACAGAGCGCCGAGGGGTCGCTGGGGCTGACACACTCCGTTGACGGGCACGCACGCGGCCGCCGGCCTGTAATTCTGCGGCAGGCGACACCTGGCCACAAGGCTGCGATTCCGTTCTGATTAACGGAAACAAAACTCGTGCCGGCGGATGCAGAAGACCGCTAGAAAAAAAAGGAGAAATGACTAGGCGCTGAGGCAAACGAGCTCCGAGGCGACAAACAACGCCGTTTGCATTCACTGCAGCTCGCTTCAGGGTGTGCCTGGGGGGATTGCAAACGATAATGACCCACGCTTCGACGGGCGGGTCCAGAGAGGGCGGGTGCCCTCACACTTCCAGTCGGAACTCACAGTTGGGACATTTCACCACACATCGGCCGCTGATATGGACGATTAGCACCCTCATCTTTCAGATTTGCGTAATAGTATGTTGTGAGGTTAACCGATATTCTGACTCCAGTTGTGCAGAGTTTCAGGCCTGTTAGAGCAAGGGTGGCCGAGCTACAGTTCGGGAGATTCTGACATGCCACATTGGATGCCAGTCTGGTGGCATTCATGGTGCACGAAAACGATCGAAATTAATTAACAAATGTGCTATAATAAGTGTCATATCAAGCAGTACATAATTTTGAAGCTTCGGATTTCTGCTTTTTGACAGTTGTAACTCAGTGACCTAGTGGCGTGGGACTACCAACGCTTTTTTTTTAGCTCAGAATGGACTTAAGCTAGTTCGCGTGATATGAGGAAAGACATTCACGACGTTTTCCATTAATAGCGTCGATTCTTAGATCTAGTTGTGCCCTGATCTGTGCAGAATCTACCACAAATATAGCGTTGAAATATCGTTGTTTGCAACCTCACCCATTCCTGTTTTACAAAAATGCGTTTGCGTATAATCTTGTCGTCCCTACGGAAGTTGTAACTCTGCAGCCAGATTCAGGATTTTACTTGTATATTTAAGATGATGGGGCACAAAATCAGCGGTTTTGTAAAGGCGAATGTTTCTTATGGACGGGACAATATTTATAGCATTTTTACTCGTAGAACAAGCAGTTAGCATCCCTATTAACAAACTGCAATACTGTCTCATCTATACGCATAATGCTCCACACAAATGTACTTAACGTACGCCCTTTTCAATATATTTTCCCCTTTTAGAGTTCAGCGTCATCTAAACAAAACAGAACCATCCAGACAGGAACATAAGTGAATCTCTTCAAAGGAGAAGTCTGCGATCAGACTGTAGCGTGCAGGGTTCATGACCGATTATGTGAATGTGATAAGCGCCTCAGTGAGTGATGCATGCTAGCTTTAAGTCGATGATATGTATGAATGATGCCTGATACGCAATGCCTGGCTAATTGAGATCGCTTGCATGTTTAAGTGTTGCGTGCTGCGTGATGCCCGTTTATTCACAATTGTTTGCTGGGAATCGCACGCGTGAATGAATGATGTGCTTTGTTTGATGCCTGGTAATTTGAATTCGTTTGCATGTACAGGCATTTTTAGCGTATTTCAATATTTAGCTGAATGTGCACTGTGTCATAAAAGTGGCAGGCAATTGCTGTTAGTTAGCGTACTTATTTAGACCCGAGTGTTAGTGTGACCTGTGGAAATTGTGCCTCGCTGCTTTAACGAACACCCTGAAAAATAGAGTGGGATTGGCAGGCAATTTTGAATTTACATCTGATACTTGTTTAGATGAGGGCAAGTGGCCGACATGTCACATCTATCGCTCCATTCTCCCACTTATTCTACGAGAAATACAGCTATTAATATTGTCTCATCTACATGTATGATGCTCCTTATAAACGCACTCAATAACTTACGTAAATATTTTTTCTTCGAGACATAGTACTCACAACTGAAAATACGCACAGCGCAGTTATTTAGACCGCATCTTCCGCCGCACTTAAAATATGAGTTTTGCCTGGCATTACGAATGAACATCCACGTCCATATTTGAACTCATATCCCATATTTGAACCTCATCCATCTTTCTCGACAGAGCAATACTGGTTTGAGCGGTGTAAAAATGAAGAACATCAAGTTTTATTGCTTGTTATTTGTTTGCTTGTTTGCTTGTCGCTTGTTTTATTAACCTTTTTAACCATTTTACTCATGTGACTTGAAACACGTATGCCTGTAACATATGACAGTTTTTTTTGTTTCAGACAAAGACGGTCAAAGATAACTAAGTATAACCAGTCAGCATACCATCTCAGACCAATTTCCAAGCCTATCACGCGTCCGCTGCTGCTCTTACTCAGTTGAGTAAGTTCACATGAAATTTCGGAGCACGTATTATAAAAATGTGCACACAATGCCCCAAACTAACATGAATAAGGGTGTCAACCTGTCACCTCAACGGCACGTTGTGGTGGCAGTGTCCCGCACCTTCACAAGGAACACGTTACAGGTCCATCCCGAGCTGATAACTTTACATGTTTTACTGTCCCCATGTCATGTTAATTCTCAGTCCAACGCCACAGGGTCATAAGTGGACACTCTACTGCTTCAATGTAGGTTTAACCACAATGGTTTGGTATCACGCCGGCCGCTTTCATACGAGGAGCACGCCACCACAGATAGGCACGCAACGTGTCTTGCCAAAAATGTGCAACCTGTAGCCTGGTCACTGCGTCTCTGAACGAAATGAAAATAGCAGAGCTGGCTTTGCCTTACCAGATTGTCGATGCACAATAAGTTCTATCAAATTTAAGATACCGAGATCTCGGCACGGTTCGATCTGTTGTTGGAATGCTCCAGATATGGTACATCCTTCGGCTAATTTGATCTTGTGCCGCCGCCTGACTGAAGGCCAAATGCGTGCGGTGGCCGCATACCATATTGCTTAGTGGATGCGGCACCGCCCAGGAGTAACGCATATATCATTACCGCAGGCAGAGCGCGCGGCACCAGAGCGTCCTCTGATGATTCGGCGGCGCCGGCCGGCTGGACACCGCGTTTGCCCCAGTGGCAGCAAGCTCGGCGCTGTATCGATTGTCTACGTAATTACTCAGCTGTCGCCGGTGCTAATGGCCCCACATGACATTGATTATCGCAACAAAACGAGCACTAGCCAGCTCCCCTGTTTCCCTGCAGCCGCGGCGTCAATGTCTCAACCCTTAGGGTTACAGGTGGGGCAAATGGTGTCACCCTCTCTCTCTCTCTCTCTCTCTCTCTCTCTCTCTCTCTCTCTCTCTCTCTCTCTCTCTCTCTCTCCTTCTCTCCCTCTCTCTCTCTCCCTCTCTCTCCTCTCTCCCCTCCCCCTCTCTCTCTCTCCCTCTCTCTCTCTCCCTCTCTCTCCCTCTCTCTCTCCCTCGCTCTCTCTCTCCATCTCCCTCTCTCCCTCTCTCTCCCCTCTCTCTCCCTCTCTCCCTCTCTCCCTCTCTCTCTCCCTCTCTCTCTCTCCTTCTCTCCCTCTCTCTCTCTCCCTCTCTCTCTTCCCCCCTTTCTCTCTTTCTCTCCCTCTCTCTCTCTCTCCTTCCCTCTCATCCGTCCTCTGATGATCGTGGACAGCCGTGCGGCAGATGGTTTAGGCTAGCCGACGTCCCCAGGCCCTTGTCTCGGCACTACGTCTGTTACAGTCAGTAACAATGTTATCTGTAGTAGTATGCCGATGCTTGCTACGATTCCGCCACGTGGCAATTCGCTGCCATGAGTATTTTGCACACTTTTGTTATGCTGAGCCACCGATGTTACATCATTCTTGTTGCTGTCGTTTTCGACCGTTAGAGGCAATGGATCTAATGCCCTTTCGCTATCCAGCACTCTGTTTTTGTCTAATAACATTGGTGCCGCTACACTTCGAATTTAACTACCGCTTCATTTTGCTCGTGCCTTATCCCTCCATCAACACAGAGTGGACAAATTACGATAATATTATCAGGTGCCCGCTACTAAAGAACTTGCAAAGGGAACACAATGCACCCTAGTTGAATGCAAGTGCAGAAGCATTGACTCTATTAGTATCCAGACAGCATACTTTTTTTTGGTTCCCCAATGTGCAAACAAGCACTGTTTGCAGTCTTGCTGAAAGCAGTGGTGACGATCCCAGAAACAGTGTTTTGCCCTGCACAGCTACAAAGGCGTCGGCAGAACGAAATAGAACAGTACGCATGCGAGCAAGCAGCAGACTTGCCGCATTTCCTTGGAACTTTGACAGGCTGGTCATGAAAAACAGTAATAGAGGGTCATAATTTTTGTGTTGCTGTAACGTTGTGTTTGCGATAGATAATAAAATGTCAAATCCATCACCATGAACGTTTATGAAGAGCTTCCGCACAATTTTTACTAGCCATAGACGTTAGTGCTGTACACTGCACTCAAGAGTGACCTACATCATGCCAGTAACTGTATTACCGTTGATAGCAGCTAGGTTACACTGCGCTAGGCTGACCCTCCGCACCATGTAGTCCTCGCGCTGCGTGTAAGAGTCAAGCAGGTCATAAGAGAGGAAAACTTGGGGTGCATCGATACTTTGCCCACATTACTTTGGTAGAGGACAATACACTGGCACTCGTTAAGTGTCTACAGCTTACTTAAGCAGTACTAAGACTTTTTGCACTTGTTTGTGCTTGAAGCCCTATCCCTGCTTTAAGTCAGCTGTAGACACTT